GAGTGAGCGGGGTATAAAGAGTTTATCTCCAGCGATGGGCAGCCTTCGACTAATCGTGTCAATAGGTGTCACTTTCCCCCCCACCCCACCGCTTCTTTTCTCTCAGGCAAGACATTGCAGACAGTTTGCATTCAAGTGGCAGTGAGTCTGCTAACTGCAGCAATTTATCTATTCTCTTTAGAACGATGCTTTAAGGTCAGCCAGGTAAGACATTGAATCATAATTATGTGTAAAAGATAGCTGTAGTCAGCTTTCTAGCTAGAGTGAAAAATCCATCATAAAAGAGAGTAATTTACAAATGACACGGATTAATCGATATTTGCAAAAAAAAGATTCCTCCCGTTGGAGAGCAGGGAAGAAAGACTGTTGAGAGGCAAACCCTTAAGATGCCAAATGAACTGTAGGCGTGCTGATTTATGGGACAGTTTGTGCTCTTACATCTAAACGTAGTTGATTTCACGGTGGCAATAAAGGGAGTGCTCCACTCGGAACAGCCAGCCTCCTTGTGCGGCCACCGTGCAACAGTCAGACTCCGGCTCACAGACTGGGGGATGTATTTAACGGGTACATCATTAAAATCCTTTACCCTTCAGTTCCTCGCCCTTTGAGAGAAACACTTTTGATGTTCTCAAACATCCACCATGGTTTCACGCTGGATTTTACATTCAATAGATCTTAAAACCTGCGGAGTTGAAAGCAAGAGCTCCGCCCTGCATTTCACGTTCTTAGAAAAAAGGCCAAATTTGGGACTTCTTTTAAAAATGGACAACACTTTGTTTTATTAAGCACCATGTCATCCAAGTGCACGGACAAGGGCACCGCTGCCCCTTTTAATGGGAGTGCAGATGGGGCGCGCGGTGTGAATGTGAGCTTCCCGCATTTTTAGAGGATAAACGCATTAATGGTGTTTGTTTGGTAGCTTTTTGTTTTTTAAGACAAAAGCTCAGGATGCATCACTAAACAAAAAGAAAACCATCTAATCATTCTTTTCAGTGACCTTTTTCTCTTAAACAACACAGACATATATTTTTAATATAACAAGGAAAAATAATTTGTTCCAAATTGCTGGTGTAATTTCAACTTATTATGACTCGTTATCTGCAGCCATCGTGGGCTATTATTCCATAATGAGTCCTATTATGTTGTTTTCCTCTAATGCTGACTTTTCCTCGTCAAATGCGTTTTCGGTCCAAGCGTCACTATTTTGCATTGAAAAACACGAAGAATTAAACTCGATATGATTCTGTACTTGGGGGGGTAAATGAAATTGAATACAGCTACTAATTTTGGCAATTAGATTTTGGTAATCCTCTCTGCCCCCCTGCCCTCCCCTCTCAAGCATGTTTTGGTCGTGATGCTCTCAGCAGCAGATGAGAGGAGGCATACAGAGAAGTGCAGAAATATCATGCGAAGAGTGGGAAAGGGAGAGAAGAGAGGAGAGAAAAACGGGGAAGTGGGTGAAGAGACGGCGCAGCCATCAGACATCAAACATCAAACAAACCGTGGGCTCCTTGAAAATCTGTCAAAAAGAAATTTCTGCTGGTTAATAATTATGGGGGGGCGGCAGCACTACAGGTGCATCTTAGGGCCCGCTTCGTAAAAAAGCCTCACAAGCCGAGCAGATTTCAAACTAAGGATGTATGAATGAATTAGGAGAGTGAGGCAGGCTCAGTGCAAGCTCTACCTGCTTTTTATGATCCCTCTACTGTCTACACGTGCCTCGCAGCGGCGTGCAGGTACAGTGAGGGAGAGATAACTACCCACGGCCTCGGGGACGCATCCTTTCGTCTCTTCGTGATGAGTCTGGCACTCCTTCGCATCCAGGAACATTGCGCCTCGTGTACAATAATTATGAGTGGAGTACATCTGCAAAGCACTGCGAGCGGTACGCAGCCTGGTATAACTAATGTGTTTACAAGCTGCCAGAACTGTTCAACGTCGCTTCTAAAAAAAAAAATCAATAGGAAAGAGCAGCCGATTTAATCCACACCGGCGCAGGTGTGGATTAAAAAATAAGAATAAACTGGCATCGTGCTTTAAGTGTATGTTGGTGTAAAAGCAGTCTGCCATATGGCTGAGTGTATATTAAAGCTGCGTCGCTCTTAAAGGAGAGGATGTGGTTTTCTGTCTGTAATGCAGTTACATTGTGACAAATGAGACAGGTGAATGCACCAGGAGGCCTGGAGTGAAGTTGCACGTGCTGGGTTTTCAGGTGTAAAATTGTGTTAATTGTCTGAAAATGAATTTTTGATGGCTTTGACATCCCGCTTGCGTTCAGGCTCACGTGGGAACTTTGTAGCTTTTACATTTTTTTTTCCCAACAAGTGATGTTTGTGCTGTACCTGCCAGCTCGTTGGAAGCACAGCAGGTGTAGGTGATGGACAGAGCTGTCTCGTATGTCGTGTTCAGCGAGATGAGGGCATCCAGGATGATGAACTGGAAACCTAATGTACGCACGGCCTCTCCCGTGAAAACACAGATAAGCTCAGTGTCGGTGTTATTACCCTCCTTTACATCTCTGGGTGATGTGAAGCCGGCGAGGTGTACGCTCCGAGCAATCCCCAGCTTGCTGTGAGCCTGAACCCTTCACATATCATCATTACTCTCAACATCTCTCTCAGCACTCTGTTTGCCCTCAATCTATTGCCCTTTTCTTCCCATCAGTCTCGCTGCCTTTTTTTTACCCCCACATCCCTATCCTGTCCACAAAGGTGAGAGATTTGTAACCTTCAATACTGATAGCGCACACACACACACACAAACACACACACCACACACACACACACAGACACACACACCACACACACCACACACACACACACACACACACACACACACACACACACACACACCTCCACCTTCCTCAGTTTATCTCCTCTTCATCTCATCCAATATGGATATCGCATGCTGCCTGCTGACCCACACACATTGAGCTTGGTGTAGGCTCAGCCAGCATAGCACCTCATTTAAAGGGGCATTGATTTCACCACTAGTGCTTTATGAATATATTCCTTATGCATGAGCATTCAGCAGTGTGTTTATGGCAGACCTGCCTCCAATTCTATACACGCTCTCAATCTGTGCTTCAAATCAAACTCTCAAGGTCCATCTGCACCCAGCAGAGATGTTCGTTTTCTTATTGTCTTTGAATTCCTGCTCAAACTGAAGGCAAAGCGCAAAGCTCTGTGCATACAGTGTGAGGCATCCAGGGGATCTAAAATTCAATTTCTCTCCCTCCCCTGAATGAAACTGAACACCAAAGCCTCATACTACACTGGAGGTAGTTTTTTCCCCTCTATCTTGGCAGCATAAGAGGACATAGATAACAGTATGAAACCAATTTCCTACAACTTTCTAAAACAATTAGTGCACTTTATCTTTTATTTTCTAGATGAACAGCTTAAATGGTCTGCATTTCTTCAGCAATCAGCATCTCATATTCACATTTAATTTAAAGAAAAAAGAAAAGATCAGACAAAAACAATAAGCGATCCCATCAAAGCAAAAGAAATCTGCAACACAGGGGAGAGACTTACCTGAGGCTGATGAAACAAAAATTACAGGTGGGGCGATCAGGCCTGTTTGGTCCACTTGTAATGTGCTGAACTTGTGCTCTGTAATTTCATCTGCTCCACGCACTCATGTGGGGGGGAGAGAAATGATCAGTTAGTGTTTTAATGTCATAGTTAATAACTCATCAAGAGGCACACTGAGGGAGCCCTCAGCAGAGAAACCCACACAAAAACAAATCCACTATTCTCCCCTCACTCTGCAAGAATCCTCTAACCCCGGCAGTTCATAATGTGTTGTTTTCCTCTCCTTTTATGCTCCCCAGTCCTTTCTCTCCCTCCCCTCCTTTCTTACCCGGTTGTCGAGGCGACAGAGTCAGTGAGAGACATTTCTTCCCAGAAGCTCCTCTCTCTCTCTCCCATGGCTTTGTTCAGCCTGCTCTGCTGACTGGCTCAATAGTGTATGAGACACAAGGAGGGAAACGCAGCTCGAAAACCTCTCCGCACCTCCCGCGATAGGCTGGCGAGCCCGCGGGGATTTTTATACCACTGCAAAAATGTCACCGGAAAAAAATTCAAGCATCAGTCAGCTAGTTACGAGTGACCCAAAGGATGCAGTTGTCACGGTACCGCAGCCAAGCCCCCTCCCATCACATCAGAGTTGGTATGGTCTAGTCTAGTCTCAGTTGGTGGGGAGGTGGGGTGTGCTATAAGAGGGCAATAAGAATAACTGGTTACAGTGGGAGACAAAGTGCAGGCAATTTAAAATAATCACCTGAGAAAAAGAGTTTATTAGTTATTGCTTCATTTTCATTCTTCAGCGCCGACCGAGTGAATGAAGCTGCTCAGCCTGCTGTCCTCTGTTGTAAATGGTTTGACTGCTGTGTTATACAGCATCTCTAATATTTGGTGGAGGCTGTAAATTCAGCACCGATCTCAACTGTCATGTTTGCCTTGCTGTGCCAGTACTGCACTCTCCCGGACTGTAGTGCCCTCGCTCGCTCTCATCCAACATTAATGACCAGCACTCTCCTCACACCGCTACGTTCAACTCATCCATCACCTCGCTCCTCAACCCCTGTTCGTGTTTAACTTGGATTGCCTTGACATCAAAAGGTGACAATCCATCATCTAAATGAGAGCAGATAACTGTAGTGAAATTTCACTCTTTCTGTGGCATCGTGGAGTCAAACAGAGAAGAGAGGTTTGAAAAATGGGAAAGAGTGCGCGAGTGCTGAAATCCTGGAGGACACTTCATAGCTGCGCACTGTTTTCATCATGCTGGTGTAACTGTGACAGAGACATCTGTAAGAAAGACTTTTTCAGTCGCTCGAGATCAACATAGTGAAGAAGAGTGAGTCCAATCACATCTACTGCTAGAGCTCTGTGGGGGACAAACAACCAAAAAACAAACAAACACATTTTACGAAAACTGTTGGAGCTGCATGTTGTCTATGACACCAGACACACACACTTCACTGCATGGGATCCTTTGATAGGGTTTAATGAGACCCTCCAAATGACATTTAGTCAACATTTATCACAAATATTGGCAGGCAAGAACTCATGAGGCAGTTGACACATGATCTTAATATACATTTAAATAATACAAAATATACATTCATTCATACCTTGACACATGCATACTGAACCATACATGCAACCGTATACAGGGCTTTCAGAAAAACACAGTGAAGACAGAATTACTGTTTAATAGTACCCTTAATGAGAAATTTCCCACCCAAAGTGTACACGTTTCCCTCTGGCCTCAAGTAGAGTTTATCTGTTTGGATTATTTTGGAGTGAATTGCACAGTTTTGGAGAAATTTGATGCCATCTCTTTAACAGAAGTGGGCTAGGTGGCTCTCACTTTGCGGTGCTGAAGGTACCTAAAAATCAAGCAAGTTCAACTCAGCCAAGCTTTCTTTGCATTAACTGGTTAAAAAGCAAACAAAAAGAAACCCTAAAAACAGCTGGTGATAACGGGTATCACAGCGTCAGTTAGTGACTGCATCATTTGACTCTTTTTCCTTAAAATACATAAACTCAGCACCTCATATTCCAGAAAGTGACATTATCTGACGTGGTGCTAGTACATATATCCATCCATCCATCTTCTTCTACTTATCCAGTTCAGGTTTGCAGGGGCACTGGAGCCAATCTCAGCTGTGATATAATGAGAGGGAGAGTACACCCTAGCTAGTCTGTCACATGCCTAACACAGACAGACAGATACAGCAGTAAAATATAATGGTATCGATGTTGCAAATAAGAGGAGAAAGTAATGACGATATATATATATCATATGAACTCATTATTATCAAAATCACACTGAGTGGTAAACACACTCGCCTATAGATCCTCGGTTCAATTCTGGGAACCCAGCCTGCGAGGGTCACAAGCCTGGATAAAATGTGAGGGTCATGTCAGGAAAGACATCCGGTGCCAAATCAAACACACAGTTTCATCCACTCTGACGACCTCTCGGGAAATAAGGGAGCAGCCTGAAGTACCTTCCAATATACTTATTTTATCATTTGGTGGGTCTCGGTGCTGCTGTTTATTTCTAATGTGACAGCTGTATGTTAGAGCTCATAAACTTTAAACCTGATATGCTTAAACATCACAGGTGTGTACATAAAAGAGCTGTGGATATCACTTGTCGCCAGCTTAAAGTGAAATTATTAACTATATAGTCTACAAATGTAACCAATTCATTTTCTAATTTGTACTCTATTAGCTGTATTTCCAGCAGTGTAAAGAGACTTAGCAGCAGATTAGGACCACAGACGTTCTGCATCACCAACCGAATGTATGCAAATTCCTGTCACAATGCCACATACACTTTGTGCTGCTGCAGCTTTATAGCTGGGCTTCAGTGCGTTAGTAAAGTACGGCTTCAAAAAGTTGCATATACAAAACATATTCCTTCAGCAAGGAACAACTTTTCACTGAAAGCAAACTGAAAATAAAATAGTGTAAACACTGTGCTTCCACCTGATCCTAAAAGGAAACTGATCAGATCATGCTCCTGACCGGGTCATGTGTTCAGCATCAGTTACCGTAGCAATTTAGCCAGGTAAAGAAGAGAGGCACCTTCGGGGACCCTGAAAACTCTGACTCGAGTTACCTCTGGTTGCCCTGTGTCATGTAGGAGCCGTCTTCTTTCATACCAAAACAATCCAGTAGATAAACAGCACTGCAGGCCGAGGAGGAGAACATGTATATTTGATCAGGGGCGAACTTTCTGTTTAAAGCAGGTCTTCCTGAAAAAGTCTAATTCTTAGGATAACATTAGTTTTGGCTATTATCTGAGCCTGAGAATGGGGGAGGAAAGCCGGGAAGAGATGCATTATTTTACATATTAATGAATATTACATAATGAAACAGTGACTGGCACAGGGGCAAATGAGTCAGGTTAAATTAAGACTGAGGTTTCTGGTTGGGAATGTAACAAAAAAAACAACTGCAGGCAGGATTCATCTACATTTCTAATTGTCTCGCTTTCCTGGAGGCAGTTTATCTGAGCGGCAGGAAAGGGTCAGTAATACGAACAAGCTTATATCTCTGTAGCATTAACAGTGGAAACAAGTGGATAATTGGTTTTGTGGGGAAGGAAACGAAGCTACAGGAAATTTCAGTGCTATCATGTGGATCTGAGATATAACAAGCGTACTCTTTTTAATGGTTAAAAAATAAAAATAAAAACACACTTCAAGTGTAAGAATTGACTAACACTATGGTGCATACACACTTTATACTTAAGCTGTCCAGCTCAATGTGGCAGTCTTCTAAAATCGTACACAAACAGAGGGAAGGATATGTTGGGCATGTTTGGTTTGCTCACCTAAAACTGGAATGTTTACAGCAGGCAGTAAAAATAGGCTCATATGCAAACGAGACTGGAAAATAAACCTGATATTGATTAGCATCGGAGCTGGAAAAACAATCCGCAGTCATCCTGTGATTTCTTTAAATGACTGCAGCCTGTCTTTAGTGTTGCATTGCAGTCTGCATTGATTTGATTTTCACTTTATTTCTATATCTGCTGAGCACTCCAACAAAGGAGATTAAAGTCAGGAAATCTAATCTAACATAGTTTTAGCACCTGCTAAAGTGGGCTCAGAGGAAGCCACTGCCTGGAAAGCATGGAGCTGTGCAGTGTGAACACATTTCAAATTTATAAAAAAAAATAAACACAGAGAAAATAAATACTCCATACACAACATACATTACAAAAAAATAAAACAAACTTATGACCCATCAAAGGTTTTCACACAAAGTATTGCAGGAAATTTTTGTTCGCGGCTATGCTTGTCACATTCTACCTGTTAAATAACACTTTCAGCCTGAGTGTGATTGATCTCTCTCTCTCTCAGCATTCACAGTGAAAAGCAACAGCTCCGGTATGCTGTTCAGTGCAACCGCCAGAGAGGAAAAAAAGTAGATCTGAATGTGCTATGGTCACTGGTCCGTGAGAAAACAGTGGTACTGCCACACATTAACACAGACTGCCGAAAACTCACATACACTCTCAAACTCTCAGAGCTCTCCTTTGACACAAAAGAAGTTGTTGCATTCCTCTGGCTACCAAAGATGAGTCTCCCGGATCTCAGAGATGATGTTATTGGCTTTTTTAAGCGCCTGAGAAAGAAAGAAAGAAAGAAAGAAAGAAAGAAAGAAAGACAGAAAGAAAGGCTGGTTAAATTGCTGGCATTAAGACCGCAGAGAAAAGAAAAAAAAGAAAAAGAAAAACAACTAGCTGTTCCACGATGTTCAGAACCCATTCAGAGAACAAATTGCATCATCCAATTTTACCTCAAGCATTTGAGCAACCTCAGTCCGCTGCTGTGCTGTGTCCTGTGACTCAATGAGCAGCTCCTGGAGCAGTGGCTGTTTGTAAAGCTGACCCACCAGCTCACTCTGCAGATGTTCTTTCACGTAGTTCACCAGGAAATGCATCACTGTCTTGGGCACACTGTAGACACACAGATCGATGATATTTACACTAGGGCTACTATTCTGAATTTGCATGCTTCCACCAACCAAGAAAGCTGTAGTCTGACTAGAAACTAGGGCGAGGGACTCCAGAGTTAGAGCTGAGTCCCTGTTCAGATCATTACTGCTGATTTATTTTGTGCTTAATCTCATATTTAAAAAAAGAAACAACTTCACTAAACTAATATTAAGAAACACTGATTTGTATGCATGTAGCAGCTGTACGAGAACAGACATCACTGCAGGAATCAACATCTGCACACTTATTCTCTAACAGAGCACCACAGTTAAGACAGACACATACAAAATAAACAAAAAAAAAACACCCAGAACAAAAACTCTTATTGCTAATGCTGATATATTTAATCCCCTTACAGTAATTGAAGTAAAAGTAGGGAAAACAGTGCATGAGTTAATATCCACAGAGACTAAATCTAATGTCCTCACTAAATGTGTCACCCTCTAGTTTACATGTAAATATAACCCCTGCATCTTTTTTAGAGGAAAAATAAAAGCTCTCATTATATAAGAAGCCTTTGTTTATGTAGTTAGACTGCTCTTTCAATGCAGCTCTTTTATCTAAGTAACAACTGATAAGATAAAAGGTTAACAGCTGCTAACCCTGAGCCACACTGACAGCACCATCAGGCACATCTAATTGTGAAGTTAATACACGCACGCAGTGGCACGCTTGCTCTCGGTGCCCTGCGGCCAGGCAGAAAAGATGCAAATGAGGGAAAAATCTGATGGATTTCATTAAAAAACAACATTTTCATCTGACCAATACATATCAGCACTGATATAACATTAAAAGTGTTGGGAGAAGAAGAGCATCACGATACGTCTCACCTGAACAAACACAGCTACAAATGTTACACCTGAGCTGACATTTAGACTTGTACGCCTGTCGTTCAGGAAGCCTGAACACACTTTTCTGAACTTTTGACTGAGTGGCTAAGCTGCCTGTTGGAGCCAAGCCCACCCCTGTCTATAGCTAAAACCAGTCCATGCAGGCAAATGCAAGTAAATGGACTTAAACTGGATCATTACTTTAATATAACCGGAGCAGACAACATTTTATATACGAGCGAACACTTCACCCAGACTTTCAGTCAGGGAACATTTCCGCTAAGGAATAAATCAGAAACTGCTCTCTGAACACAGATCGTACAAGCACTCGCATTAAGCATCATCAGGCAGAAATCCATCAGCATGAGCTCCTTCTGCACCAAAATACAGCTCCGCGGGAACCACAGTGGTCACAGTAGTACTCTCAGACCTTGAGGGAGGATTTAGCAATGTCATGTTTGATGGTATGAAATGGACAGTGACAGGGCTGCGTGTTAACTGTTTAAAGTTCAGGCTCAGTGTTTTAATGGGTCAGCTAGACAGACAGCCTTCAGATTTTTGTGTTACTGATGTAAAAGTCTCTAAAGATATTTGGTTAACCACTGATCAGTATCATCAATTCAGAAATGGCCAAGATATATGATCTACTCTTTTATCTAAGAGTTAAGGCCACACGGAGCGCTTTCGGAAAACACAAAGAATTTCCCAAAGTTTTTGGATCCAAACTTGTCGTCTAACACAGCGGTCCCCAACATTTTTTGCGCCACAGACCAATTTAATTTCAGACAATATCTTCACGGACCAGCCTTTAAGGTGTTGCAGATAAATACAACAAAATAAAATGACCAAGACAAAAACTGTGGTATTTTGTAAATATAATAATAAACACGAATCCACTGTGTAGTTGTGTAAATTTATTAGCAGCGTCCTTCTGAAATGCGCCAACAACACTGAGACCCAGGGAAACCGAGTTAACGATAAAAACCATAAATTTTACACCCGAGCCTCAACTCTCGCGGCCCGGTACCAAACGACTCACGGACCTACAGCGTACTTGCTGGAAAATGCAGTGGTCTGATTGGTCAGCGAAGTTATGCTGCCGGCCCAAAAAATATTTTTAACGCTCAAAACATTTGAACAAATTTTACATGTCCAGTGTATAAAAGCCTTTAAGCTCCTGAATAATAACCAGAGAAGTGGTTTTACAGAATGCTGTCACAGCAAAGCTGAACTTTGATCTCAATTAATCATTTTGTCCTATAAGAGACAACATAATTACCACATGAATTATTGCGAGTTCAGTAAGGTCATGTCACTTTTGACCAACTTTATTCTAACTGAATGTTTGTGCCAAATTTGAACTACGGTAATCAATAGCAACAACTGAGCTTTGAACGTGATGTAAAGGGGAAGTAGGGTCCCCTGAGGTGCTCTGGATTTGTGCCAGTCAAACCTGTCTTGGATGCTCTTGCGGACAATGAGGAAGTAGCTCTTGATGAGACGCTGGATGACCTCACAGTCCCTCTGCTCCCTCGAGCTCAGCTTTCGGGACACTGGCACAGCCTGACAGAGAGAAGGGCCAAGCAAAATATTAATACTGACCATCTGCAATGACTTCAGTGCTTTGTCATACTGCTAATCCCGCTACTCACTGTGTCAAGGAGGTTAATGGCCTGGCCTTTGCTGGGGCTCCCAAAGCCTGCAGCTGCAGCCTTTTCTTCCGTGACCTTCTCGTTCTTCCAGCGCTTCCCTCCGTCAAGAGCCTCTGCCTGAAAACAAGCAACTCAGAGGGTAAAAGACGGGTTTTTTTAGGCTGGGATTCCACTAAAAACTCTGAAAGTGTTTTTAATATTTAATTATGAATTACACTTCAGCTTTTAAAGAGCACAGTGTCTGCTGTTTAGCCAAGCAGAAAAAAAGTCCCTGCAGTGAGAAACAAACTACTACCTGCTGACTGTTGACAGATGCGGAGACCTGCGCCGCATCCGTGAAGTCTGGATGCTTTGTGTTGATGTAGGCAAGCTCTATTGCTACTAAATGATGGACCTGAAAGTAAAAAAAAAGCAAAAAAAGCATCCAGTGGGATGACTAATATAATTAATATAAAAATGATGATCTTGCTTAAGCTGTGGATTACCATTTCATTAGTAATCGGCAAGCGTTTCCGCAATAATCCAGTCACTACTTCCACAATGGAATCGTGCAGCTTGGGAAATCGAAGAAGCTCCTTAAAAATGCAAAGACACGCTGTTTTTTAACACGGTTCTGTAATAATTACTGCGGCACTATTTTCTTTATTCAACCATGTGTAAAGTGCAATATGATCTGTGGTCCCACCTGTGTACTGAAGGAGGAACACTGCTGGATGATCCGCTGCAGCTCTTCATGAACCAGCTCCACGCAGCGCAGACTGGGCTCCTCTAGACGCTTAATTTGCCGCTTCACCAGCAGCTCAAAGGACACCTCGGGCACAAAAAGTGCTGGCCGTGGGCCCTGCAGGGCAAATATCATACACACAAACACAAATACACACCAGGTCCAGACTTGACTAGAATTAGGATTTAGTAGAGCTACACAAACAGAAGCGAGAAGAAGCTTACAGTAGCATTACGGATAGCAGTGAGGATATCGAGATCAGTCAGGCCCGCCAGGGGGTCGATAGACTGCAATGTCCGGCCAAAGGTCTCGTGGAATATGTAACAGATCCGAGCACCTCCACAGCTGCAGAAAGAAGAGAAAGGTGAAAGTTGTGATATCAGTGCTGGGTCTCAGTCCTGTGTGTCAGCAATGCTAGCTGTGCCAAGATTAAATGCAGTCAACCAAAAAGGGTCAATATTTGCTCCCCATGTATTTTAATGAATTAATCATCAAATGGTAAAAGCTGCAGAGTGGAATGTGCCAACGGAAGATGCTGATACCACTTTAGTTTACACCTACATTAGCACGAGGACATTACTCTCATGACGCTCGTCAAATGTCTCGATGCGGTCTCAATCATCAAGGTTAGCAAATCCCAAAAAGTGGATTCTGTTCATCTGGAAAACAATGTAATCACTCTTCTGTCGACAAGGGTAGGTGCACGGTTTCACTTAACCAGAAGGACTGTCGTGAAAAATTTTGTCACTGCTCACTGACAAAAATACTTATGAACCCCTACAACAAGACCCAGGTAGTGGTTACAGGAAGAGGGTGATAGATTGTCTGAAGCACTTAGATTAAGACAATGCTGCTGACCAGACCTCATACCACAGGCTACACCCAGGGGAAGCTACACCAAGTCTGTATGGTTTACCTAAGATACAAAAACAGGGTGTACCTTTAAGACCAATTGTCTGCTCAGTCACGTATAACATCTCAAAGTTTCTGGCTTTGATCCTCAACCCGTTGATAGGCAGCTCTAAACGCTACATCCAGAACACTTTGAATTTTGTTGAGAAGCTTAGAGGTGTCATAATGGAGGCAGATGAAACAATGATCTCACATGATGTTACGTTTCTCTTCACTTGTGTTCCAGTCACTGAAGCAGTGAAGGTAGTTCATAAGAGATTACAGGATGACCCCAACCTCAGCAGCAGGACCACTCTCAGCACCGACCAAGTGTGTTTGTTTGTGGAACTGTGTGTCTTCATTCCACCTATTTCAAATACATGTGTCAGTACTACAGGCAGAAACATGGGTGTGCCATAGGTTCCCCAGTTTCACCCACTGTGGCCAACTTGTACATGGAAGAAGTGGAAAACGGGGCTCTGTTATCCTACCCTGGAACACCCCCAAGTCGTTGGTACAGGTATGTGGATGACACCTGGTTGAAAATCAAATCTCAGGAGGTACCACAATTCACTGATCACAATAACTCGGTGGAGAAACACATCAAGATCACCATGGAGGTTACGAAGAAAGACCGCCTTCTTAGACTTTGAGATTTCCATCATTAAGGGGGAACATTTAAAAGTTGATGGGTAACGTAAAGTATTTAAGGTTTGACCCTCATCACCCACTGGAGCACAAACTGTGTGTCATAAGGACGCTACGACAAAGAGCGAACAGCATCGCCACAGATACAGTGGCCAGGGAAGCAGAAGAACATCATATCAAGAAGGCTGAGGAGGGGGCGTAATGGTATATTTTTCACGTTTCACCATCTTACAGTGCTGTGATTGAAGCCATTCCCCACCTCTCTGCGAATAGTACTCAAGGCCATTGATCAGCTGTCATTGACCAATGGTCTTTGATCAGTGGCTGTTGATCAATGTTCATAACAATTTCATATTAATGATCAAGAAACTGACCTCATAGGCCATTGTTCGTTAGTGGGCTAGCTTCAGTCATTATGCAAATGTCCTGTTTAAAAGGTTGGGGAAAACTGCAATCAGCTGAGACTGAAGAAGTCACTTCAGTGAGCGACGAAACGTTTCTCTCACTGAAAACGTCCAGATGAACAGAATCAACCTTTTGGGACGCTCATCAAAGTAAGTTAAAATGCAGATTTGTGCAACAACTGCTGTGTTAAAAAGAAGAGTTAAGGCATTTCACTAAATCAGAAAACAAAAGCTCCACCAGATGCAACTAGAGTGTGGTCAGACTCACAGCTCTGAGGTTTGTATGTGCCTGGCTGTTCCCTCTATGGTGTTGCAATAATCGCTGGCAAACTTGGTGACTATCTGTAGCAGGGTGGCACTGTGATCCTCTACGGGCTGTCCGTAGCTGTTGAGTCTTGCCTGGTACTGGGCACTCAGCACAGTCACTCGGGTTTTGAGGTCTGGCAAGCAGTCCCGGATGTGGTGCATGAGCAGCCTGCTGAGAGTTTTGGCCAGATAGCGAGAGCCAGCACGAGACACTAGCGAGGGATAGTGGCGCTGCAAGAAAGCCTGCTCATCCTTCATTGAGTCCTCCAGGCTTTTCTGAGTATTTATGTCATGCTGGCTCCTACAACAAGAAGAAAACAGCGAGTTCAGTAAGATAATCAGAATATTAATACTTTTAATTATAGATCAACAAGCAAGTTTGTTTCTTCCAAACCTGTTAACCACCCCGATAATCCCAAGCCTGACTGGAATGACTCGACCCAGAAGGACCTCCAGCGCATCGGTTCCTGCATCCATCAGGTCCAGCTTACTGACCACCAGCAGTGTTCGACGGCCTGACAGACACCAACACAACATTCACAGATCATTCAGGGTGAACGGTTCCCCCATTTAATCATTCTCTTTATCACCACAGCCAAAGGGAGCACATGAACATTCATTTTCCTGTCAGCAAGGTTTTTAAACTGTAAAGACAGGCTATATCAGTAGCATGAAATTACTTCTTTCGACGCATTTGATAATTTAAAAATGAAAGCATGTTATGTAACAATTTAAAAATGAAGCACGTCATGCAGTAAGCACAGAGAGAGAGAGAGAGAAAATTAAGATAAATTCTGAGGAAAAAAAAAACCCTGTATAAATAATGTCTTACCATCTGCATCAACCTCACGAGCCAATTTTAGTGCATCAGATGTGGCCAAGTCAGAGTTGGCAGGGGACACTGCGAGGATAAGGCAGTTTGGATTGGAGATAAAGGACAAGATCATCTCTTGCACTTGAGCCTCGATGTCCTTTGGCTGGTCCCCAACAGGAACCTAAGACAACAACAGCAGTATGCGGCCAACATTACATTAACCACAGCACACATTCGATCATTGTTAATGATTATCTAACGTCACTGTGTTTGCATAAATCATATCCAGTCAGCATCCCTGTCAAGAGGCTGAATCTACCTTAGTAATTCCAGGTAAATCAACCAGAGTGAGATTAAGAACTTTTGGAGAGAAAATCTTCAGATATATGGGCTCAGGACTGATCCCCTGGATATGAAAAACAGAGAAAGAAAATAATGAATCCAGTGGAAACAGCTGAACCTGCAGCATTACTGAGCGCACATCAAAGTGTTCTTCTCACTTTATTGTCGCCTGAACCTCGTTCAGTCTCTGCTTCAATTTCCTGACGAATTTCCTGAAAATCTGTGAAGATCTATTAAAAGAGTGAGAAAATTACACATCACATAATCCTAGCACACAATACAGAACCAAAGCAGTGTACATATTATTTGAATGCCTAAGATAAACAAACCTGATTCTTGCAGTGCAGAAATGTACCCCATTCTTCAGCTTTGACACCTGGACAAATAGGAGTAAGTGTGAATTTTAACACAGATAAAACTAAGACTTTGAAGAGACATTATGCTAATTTGAATATAAGACAAAGCCACTTGTATTCATACTAGACGCAGAAAGATCAGGCTGAAGAAAATGTCAGAAAAGAAATGAAGAAGTTAAACAAAGACAAGTGCATGCAGATCAAGTGTAGAGAGACCTGGGTAGCTGTTTTGGGCATTTTGCTTAATCCCATTTCCTGAAAAGCCAGTGAAGGAGAAGAGGAAGAAAGAGAGTGTTAGCAAAGCAAGACCATAAAAGGAATAGCAGTTAAAAACAGTGAGAAAAGGTGCACGTTAACTACTGCATGCAGTATACACTTTAATAACAACCTTCTGTTACTCTATTCTCCTCATTCTTCTGCATACCCTAACTTCCTAAACTTGACTTTGTTTTTTTTAAAGGAATATAACAGTGACAGATTTGTGTTTGTTTACCGTTCTCGATCTTCAGCCTCTCCTGCAATGGGGGGACATTAACAAGCTGCAACACCAGGGGTCGTCTTGTGACTATTCCTGATCCTCGAGGCAAGAAATCCCGTCCAACCAGGCTCTCCAACACAGAGCTCTTTCCACTACTCTGTTATGACACATGATAAGACCAGTTTAACCCTGATACAGTCATCTGCAAAGTTTTCATGCAGTGTGGATATGCCATTGTGAATATAATAAAAAAAATAACATGAACACAGTTTACAGCTTCAGCTACAGCATACATGACAGATGATGGAATGTTATAGATAAAAATTTGATAAAACTGCATCACCATTGAGCTTTTTACTTCAAGCTCTCTTGGGCAAACTTTTTTGTCAATTCTTTAAGTAGCCTTCAGAATTAGTTCTCCAGGCTTCTTGAAGGACATTCAAACCTCTTCTTCGGATGTTGTCTGCCTTTTGTTTTTTACAGAAATGGACAAAACATTTCTGTAAAAAAGCTCAGGTACAAGGACTTGACTGAAAAGGAGTGAAAAAAGTAGGCAGTCTCCAAAGAAGAACTTTGATAGACCTTCAGAAAACCTGAAGAACTATTGTTCAAGACCATTTTAAAAATTAGAAGACAGCCTGGCTGCTTGGAAACAAAATATAACGAAATCATGGGTAGCTCAGACTTTTGCACAGTAGTTTAGATGCGTCCTAGCCTACCTGAGATCCAACCACGACTATCTGAGGTAACTGTATGATCTCCGCCCCCAGTGTTAGAAAGACCTCCTGCAACCGGTTGATGGTGGGAATGAGAGTTTCCATCCTTCCAACAGACCGGACACTGTTGCTACATTGGGTTTTAAAAAAATAAATTAATTAATTAATTAAAAACACAAACACACACACACACACACACACACACAAAAGCAAAGATAAAACAAACTTCAAAACAGTTAAAAAAACAAAAGCAGTATAGCTTCGTCAGAGGGAGAAGTGGTCCTGATGAGAGGGGTGTAACACCACGCTCAATCCTCCCAGGTTAAGCACCAGTTTGAAGTGGCATTTTAAGATAAACACTGGTTACGAGTTGTCAACTACTGGGATGAAACCAGGTCTGACTAACAGTGCAACAAATGGTGACAGCACAAACCGAGACACTCGATGTTATGTGCTAACTATAGCTTGCTAAATCTATTGGGTAAAGGGAGGAAGTGAAATGGATAAGCTAGCTAACTGCTTACACTCGCTTAGCTGCTAAAGAAACGGTACCCGATGCTGACCTCACCAATGTTCAAGATATATTCCTTCCTATCCAAGTTTCCTGTTCTTCATAGTTTGTATTAAAATAACGCGTTAACCCTTCATTCCACCCGAAATGTCATCCAAAATTAGGAGCATAAAGATACAGACCGTCAATTGATCACATAGGCGGAACCGTATTACTCAGTCAATCCAATTGGTCAAAAATTTGAGTCACGAGGTTTCCTAGCATCTGATTGGCTGATATGTAAAGTCCCGCCTTGTGAAACCTCAAATCAAACCACACTGCCTATACATTTATATATTCTGACACTTAAAAAGCACACAAGAAAAGCGGAAAGATAGACTTTTTTTTTCTTCCTGTGTTTTAATATCTGTATATATATAAACATGTTATTTACATACAATGGCCATCAGTAAGTTACAGAATAAAACATGTATGAACTTTGCACAGATGGTTATAACAGGAAACACCCAGTCATCACGCAACCCAAATATTACTAATAAATACCCTCCATTAGAAGTTAGTGTCCCCTGGAATTTGTAGCAGCCAGAGATCATGTGAAGACAGCTTCATAAATGGACTCCTTTGTATTCAGATATTATGTGATCAGGTCGAGGTTACTGTGCCACCAATGACAAGGGCCAATTTCAAGAGGCCAAGTTTTCTCATCAAAGATAAGAAAGCCCTATTGCTGAGATAAACAGTCAGTGTTATCCATGCTCACCCTGGGGCTCTCTGTAAGAAAAATGACATTGTATTTTTCACAGTCTAACACTCTGAACACCGTATGCATGTCAAAGCACTGAGCGTCTCTCAAACAACAATTAGAAAAAAACAGCTTCAAGCTATGCATTCTTAGTCCATGTATGAGGTGTCCATGCCCTCGCCCTCCGGATGAAGCAACCTCCCCGCTAAGCGCTCAATGTCATCGAGGCTAAGCTGTCGAAGGGAACGTTCATAGTCCTTGAGAAAAGAAAGAAAGTAAAAAAAGAAATAAAAACATATTGAAAAGTAGCAGGTTAAAAACATTTCAGTGCATTTATTTACAACATGTTCTGGCTTAGAAATAATGCATGAAGGACTGGAAGCATGACCTTCAGAAACATTTTTGTTGCTTTTAAAAGGAGTTTGTTAAGTACAAAAAGTGTAGACGTAAGTGGAGGTAAGCTAATTTGCAATTTTGACTGTTTGTTTTGTAATGATGTTAAAATTATTTGCACGCAAATAATTAAACAATTTCAGGATAACAACAGAATTTGGCAGCAAAAGGCCAAACTAGATTTTGCGATAATGCTTCATCCCCCCCTTCAAACACACACGCATGTCTGGCTGCTACTGGTCTGAGTTGTTCAATTAATTATTTAGCCCAGCATAATTAGTGGCTCCATAGTTTAGTGGTTTACATATTTGCCTAACAAGTGAAAGGAGGAGACATGAATCCCTTTGGGGTTTCGTTGGGAAGGCATGCAGAGCTACCTGCTGTGGCAACGCCTCGTGAATGAGGGAGCAGCTGAATGTAGCTTCTAATTAGTGAGCACAGTTGGATGGATAGGAGCTGATCAACTAACAAACTCAAGAGTAGGGCTGTTCGATATAACGATATATATCGGATGACGATATAAAAACATCTATCGTTTCATTTTACGCTATCATTTGTTTCGTGGTGTCGCAAAATAAACTGTTTACGGCAATATTTTTTCATTGTTTTGATGGTCACTGTAGTGGCTATATTAATGTCTTAAAGTTCTCTCTTTCTCTTATATTTAATATAACCACACTATGGACAGACAAGCGCCTGTTTTTATGCGTTGTCGTTAGCAACAACGACAGTAAAACCATTGCGTGTCCGCTTGTTTATCTTCCACATAAACCTTTCACAATAAAGCTCAAGATCCTGTTGAGACTTTTCAAAATAAACTTAATCACGTAAAAGAGTATGCAGAGTACTTAAGGATGAGAAGCAAAAAAGAGCTGACAGGTGCTAAAAAAAAAAAACAACAACCTTAGACTCAAACGTTAGAACAGGCTTTTCCCTGCAGCACGCCGTGTAATAAATACTCACAAAGAAAACAGCGGCCGTTACAACTTATGTCTAAAAATGTGTAGTTTCATGCATCAGTTAAAACACTCGACTCCAGGTACACGACGCCCAGCTGGAAACACTTTACGCAAGTCGAGCTGCCCGCGATTCTCAGAATGTACAGAAAATGTAAAATTTTTGTGATTTATATCGTTATTGGACGATAGATGTCTTATATCGGGATATGAGATTTTGGTCATATCGCACAGCCCTACTCAAGAGTTGTCAGTACACCGACTTTCTACAGTAAAATCCGTTCTCATTAAAAGATAAAAGCATTATACAAATATTGTAGTAATTATTAATAATAGATTTCCAGAAATTAAATTAGTATCTCATTGTTACCACTACATGTTCATAAATCATCCATAACTGGCCCTTTCAACTTTAATATTTGACATTTATTAAATATGCACTGCTGTCAACTTGTGTGACGAAAAAAAAAATAGATGATGCTGCATTTATATACCTTAATAAGCTGTTCATGAACCTTTGCTGCATCTGCCGGACTAAAGTGTCTAGCAAGTATAGTGGAGATGGTCTGCCATACTCCTCCCTGTGTGCTGCTTCCACTGCTGGTGCTGCTACAGCTACCACCGCCGCCTGGTGCTGCTGTCCCTGAAACTGCAGTCCTCTCTCCCACGGGACGGATTACCAGATTCAATTTAGCTTCAGGACCAATAGAGTAATCACTCAGTCTGTGTTCATCTGAGGGAGAGTGATATAATGTATTGCCATTAAAAATTTACATATGATGCATGCAGAAAAGTATTAACAAATGCTGCCATCAAATGTGGCACCGTTGCCACATCTACCTGCTAGAGCTTTCCCTTTGTAGAGTAACCGTTGTTGGTTTGCTGGTATGTTGAGACGTTCAGACACAAGCTCCTTCACTGTAGAGACCTTTTCGTCTTCAGTCACCTGGAAGATAAACAACCCAATCATGTAGTACATGTGTAATTTAAGAGCATGACGCTAGCTGTTTTCTTTCTGTGCAGCTGAACAGCGTTTAAATTACACAGCACACAGTGCTGTAAAAGAGTATTTGTCCCATTCTTGATTTCTTGTTTTTTGGCATATTTCGAACAAAACAACACACACACACACACACCTATCTCACATTTGCCAAAAAGCTTCTTGATGATCCCCAAAACTTTTTGGGAAATATTCTTTAGACTGACAAGAAAAGAACTGAACTTTTTGAAGAGTTTGAGTTCTGTGTTACATCTGGTGTAAAACACAGTGAAGGTAGTGTGATGGTGGGGCTGCTTTGCTGTTTCGAGACCTGGAAGAGTTCGTTTAATTGATGAAACCATGAATTCTGCTCTATCCTTCAGGATTTTCTGGTAGAATGTCCGGTCATTAGTTTGTCCTCTAACACTCAAACGCCTTTGGGTTATGCAACAGGATAGTGACCAAAAACACAGCAGCAAAAAACAGAAAGGGGATATAAATAAGTGACATCCCCGCTTTGTACTGACCTTTGTAGAGGCCCCTTTCTCTAAAAAAATAAATAAATAAAGTGCACTCTGGCTAACATTTTAAACGAAATGGCTGTAATCACTGTTATAGCGTAGATGTTGTGCATGGAACCACTTCTCTGCTGAACACAGAATTTTTAAACAATTTTAGAAAAAAAATCCAGTTTGTGCTTCATAATGTTTTAAAAATTAGCTTTGGGAGAGACAGACTGAGGCTAAAGCTAACTGACAGCTATATTGGTCTTACTGCACGAAAAAGTGTTTCCCTAAGATAGGACTTCCCCTTTTTTTTCTTTCCCCGAAACCACAAAGACCCGGCTTCAAATGCTACTAGTCAGCTGTTGTCAGGCGAGATTGTATGCAACATCTTATCCAGGATTTGGCTAGCACGCCAGCCACTATAACATCAATGACTCTGAGGAGAAATGCCCATACAACCGGCTAGTTTAGGCTACAGTGTGTAGAACTGAATCCCAGTATTTCTGACAGGCTATTTTATTACTTCAAAAAACATATGCGTAGCCGTTTTTCTAAAGGCAGCTCGGCATGTGACATGCCAATGCTGGCTCGGCTAAACTGCTAGCTGCGATCGCAGTTAGCAAGAGGCGGTGAGCTAGCGCAGCGGTACTTCACTCACCTGTACGCTGCACTCTTTTCCTTGAAGCGGTTTCACCGTGAGGATCATTTTTGAATATGCTTTCAAAAAACAAAAAAATTACACAACAATAAAGATAAAGTAACAAAGCCTCCCGAAGTGTGCTGCTTCAGAGTACAGCTACTTTATCAGCTCGCGATTCGTCGCTTGCCAACGGCCCATTTTCTTCTCCCGCATCCCACTACCGCCGCGCGCTGGCCGGAGTGTGGCATGGCAGCTACACCAGCCTTCGGAGGAAAGTGTCATAACAACAAAAACAAACAATAATCCATTTATTTTCTCCTAATTATGCCGCAGTTGAATATTAAAAAGAAAAAAAGAGGATGGGAAAACTCAAAAAGGCTTACAACTTTGACTTATAACGCGGCTATTAGTAATATTATCAACAATGCTACACCAGGGCTAATTTATTATACGTTTTTAAAACATTTTTTTCCTTTTTGTGTGTTTAAATAACACACAGGGAAATTGTGTTAAAATAAAGTGGACTAAGGCTGCATGACGCTAGCGTGTTTTTACTAGTATCGTGGTGAACACAGTAACTTATAACTGATTTTCCTATTAATGCCTCACATTATTGCAACATTATAGCGTTGTTACCATAACTCATCATCACATGTAGTTTGAAACTGTAGTTATCGGAAAACTACTTGCCGTCCAATTGCAGAGTAACATTTATTTTGTTACTTTATGCACCTACATCAAATACATATCAAGCCTTTACTGAGAAAATAAAAAACATGATATAGGGTATTATATTAGGATGGCTGCACATCTGCTATGGAGAGAAAACGAATAAATCTTTGATCGGTGCACACGGCAAGCCTTTAACCTGCTTCATGATCGGTTGGGCATACAATCATTAACATGCATTGCACATTTTGCCGGATCCCCACCTACTCCCAAGGCTCAGGAACACCCTGAGGACCCCGTGACCCAGATGGGATCCGGTCCACACGTTTCTCATCTCACCCTCCCCGCATGGTTTCCACCGTGTGGGTCATGTGATTGCCTGCTGTCTGTGCCCAGCCCCGGCCAGCCGCGAGCAAGAGAGGAGAGCATCCTTCAGCTGGGCACTTACAGACGGGATGTGCACCTGTCGAGTGAACAGTCTGCAACCAAACCAGGCCAAAACACGCCGGTGAAAGAGACCCCCATAACGCCATACAGGCTGCGTGTGGTAAGTGATGTTTGTGTTCATTTGTTTGTTTATGGTGTGAAATATCGCACAGCATTAATACAGTTTGCGGACACAGCCTCATCTGTGCTAACAGACAGTCAATTAGAAACATAACAGCGTAAAAGCAGCAAAGATTAAAAAAAAAGAAAAAATCATCGTGAAAGCATCAGCCACGCCTAACAGTCACATGGAAAATCCAATCTTATTTTAATGTTTTCATTCCTGTTAAGACTTTTGTGTGGGACCCAGCAGGAAGTTTGCACTAACATTTACTGTGCAAGCATTTCATTTCTACTTTCTTTCTATTTTGTCTTAATGTGGCTTGAATTATGTATAGAGATGCAGAACAATAGACTAGAGCTAATGCTTGCAATGTGGAGCTATACCTTACCTGTGACTCATTTGCAGTGAACATTAATGGCCTCATAAACATATGAACACACGTATAGGTGTGGAAATGTACAAGAAGCCCAAAACAGGTGGATCTATGCTCTTATCCAGGTAGAAGCCATTACACTTGAATAGATTAGCTAAATAATAAAGAGGTGTGTAGATCAAAATCAGACAGAGATCAAGTTTGTTATAGATAGATCCATACTGCATAGGAGTGGTAGGAATGTATATACTCTATGGATGGCTCTTTGTAAAAAGCATAGATGAAGTCTGCTAGTGTTTGCAGGTGATGGGGACACTTCGGGATCTTCAGTTTGCTTTGCAACTAAAGATTGAGGAGCTTCGCCAGAGGGACACGCTGATAGATGAGCTGGAGCTTGAGCTGGACACGAAGGATGAACTCATCCGGCGGCTGCAGGAAGAACTAGACCGCTACAGAACCACTGTCTCCCTCCCAGGATCCTCTGCAGTCAGTGCATGTAGGCAGTTTTGTGCTGTTCTAATAATTGCAAGGCTTATTAGGACTGATATAGAGTTCTGTTTAATTTCCCTGACTTTTTTTATTTTTTATTTTTTTGCTTCTACCTCAGCTCAAACTGATGACAACAAGAGACCCAGAAGGCAGACGGTGATTTGTGAGCCCCTCACTCTGGACCCAGTGACTCTTGCCTTGGTTTCACAGAGAAGCTGTGACAAAAGCCACGAGTAAGAGGACACAGTGTTCCCCTCACAGCTACACCTGCTCAGATTGAAAAATTACATTCATGCATGTTCAAGGCTCACTGACTGCTGACTGCATGACTCATGATGAACCAATGCTTTTTTTTATTCATTGTCAGACGCTCAAGCAATTGACACTGTTTAATAACTCATCCTCACCTGCAAATTTGATATCGTTTCCTCATGTCCTCAGGTCCCAGAGGCTGATTCGGGCATCATTTCTGAGAAACGACTTGCTGAAGCACCTTGATGAAGGAGAAATCAGAGCCATCATCGCCTGCATGCATTCCACCACCATCAATCAAGGCTGCTATGTTATTCAGGAGGGGACCGCTGGGGCTCAGGCTTACGTTTTGGAAGGTAAATCCTTTTTTCCTCTCACAATGGCCGCCATTAATCACACACGAGGATATTTATTAAGGCTTCCTTGAGATGTCAGATGCTTAAGGACAGACTGATTAAATGATGAGCTTGATCATATCTTTATATTTAAATTCTTGTACTGATAAATAGAAGCAAATAGAAACGCAACAAAGTGACAGCATGTGGAGCAACACATTTCTAGTTTGGGTTGAAATGTCAGCTTGAGCCTGAGGAGACGGAGAGGCTGTTTATCTCCGGTTGCCTTGCCTTTCTGTTGTTTGTGCTGTATATCTCTCTCAGTCTGTACATTATCTGACATAAAACCCACTTCTCTGCGTCGTCCTTCACCCAGTGTTTGTTTATTTGCAGAAGGGAGGCTGGAAATGATGAAAGATGGACTGAAGCTGCTCACAGTTGAACCAGAAGACATGTTTGGAGAGCTAGCGCTCCTTTACAACTGCACCCACACCTACTCTGTGTCAGGTATATCAAAGCTTTGCATCGGCTTCTTTATTTTATAATTGCGCGCAGATGTCACAGGAGAGCTGTCAACCTGAAGAATTTCTCTGTGATTATCTCTGATTCGGCGAGGATATAAATAATTCTAGTTTAAGTGAATTTCACAAGCGGTAAGATTTCTGGCTGTGGCCTCGGACAAAAGATGCCTGTTGAATTCGAAATCAAAAGACCCTCTGAGATTTTACAACAGCTTTGCATGGCCTTCTATCAGATGTGAGGAATTTAAAGCATCCTTGGTTTTTGCCGCTTAACAAGGCTGCCTGGACCGCCACATCTCCTCCCTGCAATCCAGCATCTCAGCATCTTGCAAACATTTAAAAATAATCTTCTTGTAAACGATCTCGATTTAATGACCGCTGCGTTGCAACCTCTCATCTGTGCTTTTGTGGTGATTTTTTCCCCTCTTACAAGCAGAAACTGTGCTATCATTTCCTTTGAGGATCCGATCGCAGAGTCCTGTGGGAAAACCTTTTCAGCCGTGGCTGCGTGTGTCTGACCTGGTTTCACAAATAAATAGGCTGTGAAAATGGCCGGATTAGTTTAAATTGAAAAATCTGTCTGTTTTGTCTTGTTTGGTCCCAAAAGCATCCCATTCCTCCCCTTTTTTAAAAACTCCTTTCTTTGTCCTGCAACCAGGCAGCCTTTCCAATTCACTGTTCTACATTTGTCTGCTCTCTGGTAACAAAACTCATTTGATGTCTGCTCGCTGCTCCCCCTTGTTCCATGTACCCTCTTTTTTTCAATCCATTTAAGGCCTGTTGCATTTATCTCCTTCCTGACCTGAAATTACCTTTTTTCCCATCATATCTGGTACAAGAGATTAAATTAAAAACCAATGGCTGCACGCCGTGTGCCATATAAAGGTAAAGCGACAAAGTTTGGTTTGTATCCAAAAACAGGGAACTGAGACAAGGACTGCACCGCAATAATCAGATGCTCGATCTTATTAGACTGTCTGGTGGGGACGTCGTCTTCCGTTTGCAGGAAGGTTCAGTGAATCAATCAATACTGGTCATTATTAATTAACGACACTCTCTTTCAAGCTCTATTACAAAGAAAGATGGTGATGATGGCTGAAGGAAATTAGATTTGATTGATATCAACTGACCTCTGCGAGGAAAACAAGTATTTTTAGTTTTTACGATACACGGTAAGCATTTCTAATGAAATCCTGGCCTACTTACTGGCTGCACGTCCACATCCATCACAGGCAGCATGAGTCTCGATAGTGCTTTCACTCATCTGTCACTGACACAGCGTCTTCCTCTGTCTCTGTGTTTTGATCTGCAGCACGAACGGACAGCAGGCTGTGGGTTGTGGATCGCAAGAGCTACCAGACCATAATCATGCAGAGTGGTCTCAAGCGCCTTTCCCATTCAGTGGAGCTTCTTAGCAGGTGAAAATCAGACTGATGCACATGGAGCAGCTCCAAAAAGCTGCTTTGATGGGCCATGTAGGCTTTTACCTCTGTGCACGGTATCTGCTCATTGTCCTCATGCACCTACATGAGCTATTGCGGATGATATCCAGTGCTTTTTGTTTGTATCTGTGTGCAGCATTCCCTTCCTCCAGTCGCTGCCAGCAGATGTCCTCATGAAAATGTCGGATCTCATGGAAGAGGTACACTTGAAGTTATTTAACTGTGAAGCACACTAGTGTATCCAGCTAATAGATGAGGTGAATGTTTACATGCAGTGCCTACAGTGCCTCTATAAGTGCAAAGAAAGTTCTCTGGATGAACCCTTCTTTGTTTTATTGATATTTTTCCACTGGTCACACTGCTGTCGGTTTTCATTTGCCTTCCACAGACACATTACACCGATAGCGAGTACATCATTCGACAAGGGGCCACAGGAGACACCTTTTATATCATCAGCAAAGGCCAGGTAAAGTGTTCTGCTCTCATCCTGCTGCGCAGATCAAGGGGGGCTTTCTGAGGAAAAGATTTACAGCCTGGATGACAGAAATGTCAAAGCAGTGGCGGAAATGACTTTATGATGGTGATAATTTA